AGGTTGTCCCTCTTAACTTTTAAGTCTATAAATAAATAGGCATAGTGCGTTAAAAAAAAAATGTTTGTTTGTTTGTTCACCCCACCTTACCCTTTCCATTTAGAGACCAGCCGCTGAATAACAACAATATAGCTATGTAAGCACGATAAAAATCACACTGAACAACAAAATTAAGTCGTACCATTGCACTACTGTAGTTATAATTGAGTAGGGTACCTCTACCACGACATACTCAACTCTATAGCAATATGAAATCCTGCTACGTTTTAACTTATTTCTGCATACAAGTAGGTAATTAAATTACCATCAAGTACCTACTCAAATATTATAGGCTATAGCTGTGTATGTGTAATAAACTAATAAATTCTGTTGGTATAGTACTAAAGTTTTATTTTTTGATCAAAATAACTCCTCGCTTGAGAACTATTAAAGTATTATTTATAAAAAAAAATAGTACAATAAAAAACAATAATTACATTACACATGCATTATGATTGTACATATGAAGCAATATTTTTCAGCGTGTTTTTATAAACAGTAAAATATTATTGAACCTCCTACTGGCTACTCCTGTTGTAGTCCTATCTACTTATAACTTATTTATTTAAAAACGTTGTTTTACCTACCCACATTGTAATCCAACCAATTACGTAACAATGTTCACAAAGTAACAACACAATAAATAAACCACCATTGAACTAAAGTAACTTTTGAAATAGGATTTTTTTATTTAAAAATTATGCACTTTCGTTTAATAAAACTGATTTTAATTTAAATTTCAAACCGTCTAAATCATTGCTACCATATCAAATCGCAATAAATTTTAGTGAAAACACTTGCACATCACTCCGTGTTTTCTTAATCGGTTTAAAATGACAAAATGCATTGTCTACATGAAATCAACGTAAAATACACACGTCACAGTATTGTGTTGACTAAACAAAATCCAACGATGACATTTTGTTTTAAGATTTCTCTTATTATTCTATTTTTTTTCGTACTTACTATTTAATGGAATAGAGTTATAGAGAACGCATTACAGACAGATAGGTATAGTTTTGAACAGGGAAAATAACCAGTTAACTGATCGACCAGAAAAATTTTCATTTTACTCCATTAAAATCCTACTGGTTTTATTGATTTTCTTGTTATTCAACATGCGTCCAAGAAACCTATAACCCATACTCAGTGGGGTAATTTGATCATGCATGTGGTGGGAAGAGAGATGAAATTTTTAAACCTTCTACCTATTAACTCCCTCAAAAAATTGCTGTATATACATACAGCAATTTTTTGCATAGGCATAAAATTCATAAGCATTCAGCGCGTCCTTCATATAACCACTGTCAATTGAGATTTGTATAATATGTGAGTACATGTATAAATATATGCACAGGCATGAAAACAAATAATTATATAATACATTAATACTTAATATTCACATACCAGTATTGAAGTACACAATTGATGTAGGCACTAGACATGCAGTAGTGCAGTATACATCACTTTTACGACTATGCTGATGTGCGTCGTCGACCATCGATAAAATAATATTCGACCGCTTAGAGTTTTATTTTTTATTTTTGTACCACAACACAAAATGAATTATTAAATTATAATAGGTGTATATTTTGTGCAATAGTGTTGATTACGAAGTAATATAATCTTAGTTATGAAGGTACTCCTAGCATAGGGGATCTTTTTTTTATTAATTCTTTATTATGTACCAAAGCAGTGGTAAGTGGGAACACACACGTGTTGTGTATTCTTTAAGAAAAAAACAACATGGAAAGATACGAGTCCTGAATCCCCTCTGCAGTTACACCTCTGGGACGATGTATTGTAATTTGGAAGCTTATAATCGGAACCACTTGAGGGTTCGATTGCCAAATACAAATATTTATCGAGTAAAAAGTAAAAATGTCTCTCTTTCAATGATTGTCCCATGTACAGCTTAACTGCAGTTCCCATATACCACACGTTTAAGCTAATAGTTTGAATATTGCAACATATTTTAAAAACGGTAAAAATTTAAAAATTGTAGGTAATATATTTTTTCATGTAATAAATTAATTTAATTTTCATAAGTTATGTATTAATTGTATGGTATATTTTACTGTGTTAAAAATAATTCTATTTATAATTAATTTACAGATATTGAGCATAGGTAATATCGGATTTATACTTTTACAAGTAATTTAAAACCAACATGACAGTGTTGCGGAGACTACACACACAGGTGTGGACTGGCTGGGATGCTGGGATGCTACAGCATCCCTTGCCCTAAAATATATTTGCCCCTATCGGTATAAAAGTGCCCACCTAAAATTAATCTGAATTTTGAAGGAGAAGGTTAAAATTCTCTGATTAAATCGTAGGTAGATGTAGATCTATTATTTATGTAATAACTAATAAATAATAACTATAACAATCATAAAGAAAAAAGAATACATTTAAAGTAGGTAGCCAATAAGAAAATAGGTAAATTAGTTAGAGCAGCTTTTTATATACATTAAATATACTTTCTTAATTTATTATTAACACAATCTTTATAAGAGGAACTTAGCTCTAATTGTTATGGGGCGGGGGTTGGAGGGGGGGGGCAAAAATTAATCACAATTTACTGACCCTTAAGTTTGCCGTTGCTTAACCTTGCCTTGCTGTTGTAATTTGGCACCTATTTACATTTTTAACGTAATTACAATATTTTATTAAAACAAAAGAAAATGTTTAAATATTTTATAAATAACCTATTATTTAAAATTTGTATTATTTGCCCTTTAAATTATGTAGCATCCCGCGCCCTTTTTTACCAGTCCGCGCCTGTACACACACATAGATTCTGATTTAGTGATTCCTTAGTCTATTATCTATAATACGCGCAATAAATTCTACCTAATAAATAATAATCTGCCGAAAACTTTTTTTAGACTGCAATTCATAATACGCGACACGCTGCCAATACACATATAAATGCCCGTATTGGGTTTACAGATTTCCTATTCCCGAAGTACGGCCGACGAGAAGACATGTGTCACGTGTGTAAAAATAAACGCGGACTAGGTCTGCGATAAGCGCATGTCACCTTGCCGATCGGGTGATATTTTTTTTTCGTTCGAATTTTGTTTAGGTTCGCCAGACGGTGTGAAAATAAAAAAATCGGCACCCGATCGGTACTTAGGGACGTATAGTAATTGTCAATTTATTATTGTCATGACGTGTGCACGAGCAACGCGGTAGGTGCGCCGCCCAAGTGCCGACGACGGATATTGTAATAATAATATAACAGTATAAATAATAATAATATGATGTATCGTACATGATATTGAATTACGCGATGCCGTGGCTTTTGCTATAAATATTGTACTCTGTACGGTTTTATCGATGGATTTAATTACGCAGTCGTCTGGACGCAGAGCCGATGAATTTTTTTTTTTAATTTTCGTTATCTGTTAATTCGATTTTCGTTGGTGGGCAATCTAACATTTTTACTACAATAACTATCGTTCGAAGAGCGATGAACACATAATATTTATTATCAGAGACCCGAAACCATAATTACAAGACACAATAGCGCAGATAAGTGGATGCGTGTGTGCGCGTGTTTTGTGTTTGTACTGTGAACCTATTCAAGTATTCATTATTCAACAGAACACAAACGGCGCAATAACAATAACAATAATAATAATAATAATAATAATAATAATAAAAATAATAATAACAACAACAGATGAGCGTTTTTATAGATAGGTACGAGTGTAGTAGTGTACGGCCCGGACGGACGATCAGGTAAATGAGAACGCATTGAGCGCCGGGTGAGAGGGTGGAGGGAAACACTGAACAACAATAATAATAGTCACGAATAATAAGTCGTCTGAAGACGGATAGAACACAAACAACAGAGCTGTGGTGGCGTTGACCGAGTGTCGTCCGACGTCACCGTCGCCGAACTCGGCGGCCTACAGCAGATTGCCGTACAACAACCAACTAATACAACGACAGGACTACAACTACAAGACGTACTACCATACGGTGGACCGATTCCCAACCTCTTTGGCGCTCGTGCTTATAACGTATTTGGCGTGTTTACACGGCGTTGATAAAAACCTTGATGTCCGCCGGGCGGCAGCGATCTCAGCTGTTTTTTGTTGTGCCGAAACCAGCACATGTGCGCATGCGTCAACATACGCACACAGCACCGAGTCGTATATTTTTACAGCCTACGTGTATGTGCGTGCGCGGCGCACACGAGCCGGGCTCGCTAGCAGTTGATTGCGCATGCGCGTCACCGTCATTACATACGACTGTTATTATTATTATCAGCACTATACAAAATTATTGTACACAATATTACAATAATATGGTCTATGATATATATATATATATTAAGCGTACTCATAGTCGTCGGAGATTGATAGAGGCAACCAACATAGCTCCCCGAAATCCATTTTAATTTTTATTCCAACGGGCAACGATAGTAACGCGCACACCAACAATCGCCGTTCCGGTGTTTTATTTGAAATAATAATAATAATAGTTATTACGAATGATGATATAAATTTTTTTTTCTTTTCCTAGACCCGCGTCAATTCGCATATCCGTCGTCACAGGGGAATAACTAAATTATCATGTAGACTTCGTCATACGCCAAATTTATCAACCGTCATCTAACTCGTAGCACACACGTTTAGTTAAAATAATATAATATCATAATGTCAGTGTTCCTAATCGTACAGTACTAAGAGTAATTATTATTATCAAAAACGCGATCGGCCGGCTCGACGATAGTGTTCACCGACTGCGTAGAGTATACCGTCATAACCCCCAAAAACGGTTTAGTAAAAAACAGAGAAGGACAACGTAGACACGTCGCCCGCCGAGATACAGAGTGACGGAGCAGTGGGCGGGCGGGCGCGGGATTGAATTATATAAAAAACGATAACCGGCAAGCGCGCCGCCGCGGGTTTTCGTCGTCGGTTCGACGCGTGTCCGACGATCGACGACGACGACACCGACACCGCTGCCGCCGCCCACATCGTCACCGTCACCGCCACTCGACGTCAACAGCAGCACCGGCCGCCGTCGCAGCAGTTCGATCGTCACGTGGTACACACCCTCCACCCGAGCCTTCGGTCATCTGCTGGTAAACACTAAACAAACGGGCACACCACCGCCTTCCACCGTGCCCAAGCACACGCACACCACTATCGCGCCAGCGCGCGCGCGCACACACACACGCCACACACACACCACACACACACCACACACACACACACACACGCACGCGTTCGTTCGCACTCGTACTTTGGTTTTTCGTCGTTCGCGTCGCTGTCCGTCATCGCCGCCGTTTCGGGGAAAAAAAAAATAACAGCAGCAGCAGCAACTCTCGCCGTCTCACTCACTCTCTCTCTCTCTTCCTCATTCGCTCACGGTCTCTCGTCCGTCCATCACTCTGTCTCTGTCTGTCGCGGTCGGAACGTCTGTACACGGCCGTCGAGTGTGCGTGTGCGCGTAACGCAACGCGTCGTCGATTCTGCCGCGCCGAGTACGTCTCGTGCACACACACCGGTGCAGGTTATTCGCCTACACTCGCCCGGGCCTGACGACCACAACACTGCCGCAGCATCGACACGAACCACCGCCGCCACCGTACCGCGATATCATCGTCGTCGCGTGTGTTATCGTCTCTATCGTTCGCCGCGATATCATCGCCGTCCGCCGAAGTGCAGTGGTGTACACATACACGCGCGCCCGCCCGCTGTCCGTCCGTCGCATCAGCATCAGCAGACACGGTGCTACGTGTGCACCATGTCCGACACGGATTGGACGCTGCACGCGCTCAAGTCAATGCCCGGTAGCCCGACTAACGTGCAATGGGCCCCGGACCAGGACGTGACGGGCGTGATCGCCAAGCTTGAGGGCCGCGAGCTCGAGTACTTGATCCGACAGAAGCGCATCGTCATCGGCCGGAATAGCTCCAAGGGCCAGGTGGACGTGAACATGGGTCACTCGAGCTTCATATCTCGGCGTCACCTGGACGTGCTGTACGAACACCCGAACTTCTATCTGACGTGCCATGGCAAGAATGGTGTGTTCGTGGACGGCGTGTTCCAGCGGAAGGGCGCCCCGGCGCTACAGCTGCCCAGGAGGTACAGTACCCGGACGGCGGCCGCAAAGGCCCTCGTCGTCTACTCTGCGGGCCTATGTCTGTATCTATACAATCGTAGCTACAATACCGTCTCGGCATTTGCCTTTTCATTCGACAAATTTTCGATCAAAAAAAAATTCGCACGCGGCGCCGCCCCTCCCCCTTCCCCCCGTCGATCGGTTCGATCCGGCCCGGCGGCCGCTGTGTTTACACACAACGTTTTGTTTCCTAAACGATATGATAAACGAATCGGGAGACACGACGTTGTTACGGGCGATCGATGATAACGTGTTTTTGTTGTTTGGTTATAAATGGCTGCGCGCAAGTGTGTGCGTGTGTAACGGGTTTTCAAGGTCTCCCTGTTGCCAAAGTTCAAAAAATTGTCGATTATTGCTCACACACACACACACACACACACGTTCACGCATGCGTCGCGTATAAAGATATTTCCCTTATCATCTTCATCGAGATTCGTTGGACCTACACGAAGAATCGATGTTGGACTTGCAAAACGTAGTTACGGTCTAGGCCGGAGCCCACCCCGATTGTCGTCGTCACTATTAATGAAACTTTCTGATTTCTAATGATACCTATGTAGTACACCTCTACATACTTCTACCCTAACACACTATGTGTCCTGTGACCCCTATTTTCAGCTTATGTTCCATCAATGTTTTAAAATATGAACTCCTTCGCTTATGATCGTGGATGACAATATTACTGTTACGTTTGTAATTCAATAGACAATTGAAATATTTTCACACTTAATTTCATATTAAACTACTTCATTGAGTTTATTGATTTCGTATGTTTAAGTATTTTCATTTAAAATACAATAATTACTATTCATAAAAAATACTTATTGCATAAGTCCTATTAATGAATATCAAACTCAGACATTAAAATCGGAATAAAATGATTCTGATTAGACAATATTCACCATTGTTTGTGATCCCAATATTTAACTATAGTATTGGTTATCTTTATAGGTACCTAATAAATACTTATTTTATGTAATAGTATAAATCACACAGGAATCAATTAAATTTTTTTCAATGGTATACTTTTAAATAATACCCAGGTTCTTTCTTTGATTATAAAATATATTCCATTAAAACTAATTAAGTCTCAATTTAGTATTTTATTTGAATCCTTCCTTAAAATTAATTTTAATTTGGGTGCTTGTAATCATAAAGCAATATTTGCTAAAATATGAGAATTTAAGTAGGTACTTAAATATTTTCATTAAAAATAAAATTAGAATTGTTAATTTTTCCTACATTATAAAGTCAAATATGTTTTTAAGCCGTCTGTTTCTGCAGTACGAATTATTCATAAATGTAAAATACCAATCATAGGTCTTATAAAAATATTAGTTTCAAACCAAAGATTATTATGTAGGTACTATAAACATTAATTTTATGAGGAAATTGCTGGAAGAATATAATTGGTAGGTATTTATTATTTATAATATTCTATGCTTTCAAGTGATGTCATAATATCATTCTAACTCATAGATTTTAATATGTTTTAAATATTAGTCTGAAGATAAAATAGCAATATCTATTTTGAATACAAAATGTAAGGTACATTTTATATAATTACTCTTATTGGTTTTCTGTGTTTAAATATTTTTTCTTGAAATAAGGTACTATTTATTAAAAATAGGAATTAATATATGTCTTATAAGTACGTAATTGCTTATATTTTCTTATAATTATGTTTTCTAAAAACAAACATTACCTTTAAGATAATTAATCTAATAGAAATTATAGTAGGCACCTTTAAGTTTTTTCTTACTGTTTTATTTTTAATAGATATCATTTTTTTTCTTAGAATATGTACATGATTGTTAGAAATAATCAAGAAAATAATGTATTATTTATTTTGTTTTCTGTAGGTGTTTAATGCGATTTCCTAGCACAACAATTCGGCTAGTATTTTATTCTTTGATAGATGAAATGGCACCACCTCCTGTACTACAACAGAATACATTTATTCAAACTCAAACTAGACCAATTGCTACACCTTCAAGAAGTTATGCAAGTCCTTTGAGTATAAATATTCCTCCTCAAGTCATCAAACAAGAACCTTCGACTTATTTATCAAAGGAAAATAGATTTATGAGTCCTTTTCCATCTCCTACTGGCACTTTAAGGTGAGCATAAATTCAATTTAAATATTTTTTTCTTATGAATAATGTAATTACTTATTATAATTAATCAGATTCATATAAATTACGTGATAAGTGTACCCATCTTTTATATTTTAATATTTTTAAAAGTGTTAAGGCAGCTTTTTGTTATATAAGATAATATTTTAACAATTTTTAAAGAATTTAAAAGTGATTATAATTGTAATTTATGATTCCATTAAAATTGCTTGTACCTACATTTATTTTTATTTTCAAATTATTTTGTCGCTACTATTATTTTTATAAATAGTTTGTATTTGGTTGAAAATAAAAATATATGTTAGTTTTAGTAAATAATGAAAATTCAAAATAAAACCCTAGTCTTTATTATTAAGAGTAGTTATCAGTGGCGGTGGGCGGGATTATTATCATGCATAACAGTAGCAGTCGGCCACTGGTGTGGGAATCGTCCGACTGAACCTGACAAACATCTGCCGCCCCTGAGAAGTACTCTTACGTAAATTGAATATAAACACATTTATTTAATGATTTTTATTTATTTAGTGCTGCTAATTCCTGTCCAACTAGTCCTAGAGGAGGACATAACCGACATACACTTGGACCAGATTTGCAAATGGCAGCATATGCAGCTGCAGTAGCTCATCCTGGTCAAATAGGTGTAATTTCTACTCCTACATCATCTGCTATTTATGTAGAAGAAAAGTAAGATTTTTGTGTAAATTTATCACTTATTTTTTTATGTTAATAATTTATATTTAAATTGTTTGTTTAGTAAACACTTAAATAATATGTCTAGTCAGAATAGCCGAGATGAAGAAACTAGCCCATTAGATGCAACTGTTTTTGATGTTAGCATTGGTAGCGAACCATTTGTTAGTGATTTTTATAGAAATGGTACATCAACATCCACGGGACAAAATTACAGTCCTCCTGATACTGTTATCCAGGACAGATCAACACCTATAAATAATAACAATAGCAATAGCAATTCTAATGCAAAATCTAAAGATGAATCCAAACCACCTTATTCATATGCTCAACTCATTGTACAAGCGGTTGCTTCAGCTTCTGATCGTCAGCTTACTTTAAGTGGAATTTATTCCTATATTACCAAAAATTATCCATATTATCGATTTGTGGATAAAGGGTGGCAAAACTCGATAAGACACAACTTGTCATTGAATCGCTATTTTATAAAGGTAAATTTAATTATTTTACTATAAGTTAAGGATATGTAACATTGAAACTTAAAGTGGAACTAATACTAAATTTTGACTGCTTAAAATTCCATAAAAATATGTTATTTTATTGATTGTTATGCGAATCTCATTATCAACTACTTATATGTTTCATTTTTGAAAAATTATTCAAATTTTAAGAAATAAATAAACGATTTAATAATAGTTTCATGAATTTACTTCTGACAACTTAGAAAAAGAGTTTATCGTTTCTAGTTTTAAAAAAGAATTGATTCATCTTGAGTAGTTACCAGGCTCAAATTTTCAACTCAAATAGAATGAAAAAAGATGTGCTTAATTAAATTATTAAAAAAAAAAATTTTAAATAATAAATTATTCAGATTTTAAGTATTGAACTAATATTTTATTGTCATGAAGGTTCCTCGTTCACAAGAAGAACCGGGAAAAGGAGCTTTTTGGAGAATTGATCCTTCATCTGAACAAAAATTAATTGAGCAAGCTTTTCGGCGTAGACGTATAAGAGGAGTGCCTAGTTTTAGACTTCATAATTCATTTGGAATGTCTTCAAGGTAACTTCATTAAATAATTTTAATGTATAAATTTAATTAAAAACTTTTGCTCATTGTTGTATTGTTACTTAATTTAATCTTATTTTAGGAGTGCTCCTCCATCACCAAGTCACATTACTGGTGGTGAATTATCAATCGCAGATTCGTTATCTAGAGAAACTTCACCATCGCCTCCAGTTTCTTCTTCAGACCAACAACAAGATGAAGTTTGTTTGGCGAATTCTATCTCAAACCAAATTAAATCACCAAATAAAATTTCTCATACTAATGGTGTTGGTGTGCTTCATTATGTTTCATCAACAGGTAATAATTGTTTAATACTGTTATGTATTTAAATATGAAATGTTATATAGTCATTTGTTACTAGCTAATTAATATTCTTCCCAAATCGAAGTGAATGCGTAGACGTACTTCAAGCATTTGCTTGGGGTTTTTTTTTTTATTAGAGCTTATTATTTATGCATTATCCAGCTTTGGAGAACCCATTTTTAACTTCTGTAAAATAAAAAAGTTCTTAAAGTGTATATAGATATCATGATATCAACCGTGTATGCTTTCCACACAACACAATTTGCGCTCCTTGCAGCCTTGAACAATCTTTATATTTAATAAAAGTTGCAATTTCATAAATAAAGCAAAACTAATGATACTGACATGAATATTTTTGTTTTATGCATTTAAATTTAAAAATAAAAAGTATTCACATCATTTTAATTACAATTAATAAAGCTAATTTTTAATTTTTGTTTAGCTAACAATGAAGCTTTAGAAATGCAAAGTCCTCAGCAATTGACTTTTTTAAAGTCACGACTAGTCTTGCCAGTGACAACTTATAGTAAATCTACAACTAGACATATTACAATAGTTAACAATGGACTTCCAACATCTCAGTCAGGTAATTATGAGTTATTTAAAATTAAGTACCAACATCAATACCTACAGGCTAAAAGATACTCTTAATATCAGGTCTTAATAAGGAAGATATCAGTCCACTTTTGATTTCTCTCTTGGGTACATGATCATTAAAAAAAATGCATTCTCATAATCATTTCTATTTTTATGTTAATTAGTTCTCTTAGTTACTGATAATATATTATATTTTACTGATCACCCTTCACAAAAATTATTGATAGTAATATTTGTGATGCTTATAGATTTGTCTTATAATTGTTTCAAAACATTAAAATTGAAAAAAAAAAATGCATTAAAAGGTGAAATAATAACAAAATATAAAATTGGTATGTCAAAACCTTAAACATAAAATCCTAAGATTAGGTAGGGTAATTTGCAAAATGAGATGTTATGATGATTTATCTGTTGATACTAAAATCATTAATGTTAAAAGAGATTGTTATGTTTGGATATTTCAATATAGTTTACAGCATTGAAGTATCATTTATCAAGCTGTTGTAACACTATATAATTTTTTAATAACAACAATTTCTAAATTACTTAGCACAAAAAGCTAAAAGTAAATTATATCATGCATACTCAATTATTCACATGTATTCAACATATATGAGATTTTTTGCCTTGTTTTTATCAAGCAGGCTAATCCCAAATTTAATACACATTGTGGCATTAGTAAAATCGTAACATAGGGTAATAATATGATGTGCTCATCTTATGTATTGAATTCAGTATCAATAATTATAATGTTGCTCTGGTTGTTTATTTGTAAATAGTTAAATCTTGTTTTTTATAGATAAGTTATTGAAATTAAATTATGTCCTGTCAATTTTTAATGAATGAAACAAGATCCAAATTAAAGCAATTTTTTTATATTTACCTAAATGTATAATACACTTGCTTGGTTATATCATTTATGAGACTAATACACATGACAATCCAATTTTTCTCTTGTCCCAGAATCAGGGGAAAATGTGTTATGAAATTAAACAAAAAAAAATGTAGTTTCTAAATGAGTGATTAAAAAACCTTTATTACTTTTTTTTTAATTGATCCAAAGCCCGGCAACTATGGCCATTTGCTGTTTGTAGGGGGGAACGGTTGAATTTTCATGGAACACGTGTGTGCTTGGCAGAATTTCTAGCGGGCACCCACAGGTTTCTGCCATGCCTGGGTGAGGGGCGGTGGCCTCTCTCCAGGCACCATGACTGCCTGAAGAATGATGCCGCCTATGACCAAGATTTGAACTGGCGACAGTGTGCGTTGCAACCGACGCTTTGGTCGACTCGGCCACTTCGCCCCGTACCTTTATTACTCTAAATTCCAATTATGTATATTTAGAGATATTGCATTACGGAAAAATGATAATCATAAATCAAAGCAATAAGTTTAAAATGAACTTTGCGGACAGTTCATTTTTGTCATCATTTATTTTACTCTAAGATCACTAAGAAATCACAAAAAACAATTTTAATCAAAGCATTTTATATTGTTGCGCTTGAGTTTGAGAGAGAAAATAAATATTATTACTTAAACATCTTCTTAACTTAAATCAAATATATTTACTAAATTAAACTAATATCTTTTAGGAATTAATAATTATTATGTGTATGATAACAATATTTTTTTTACAGGAAGCACAACTAAAACTAACTTAAATTTTATTGCCTTTCCTCCACCAATCAAGGAGTCTTTATTGCCACAAGCTCCTGTTATTGTACAAGCTTTAGATCAGACATTTGATGCGTGAGTAATCATAAACTTAATTGATAAATTGATTGAACAAATTTATTTATGTTGTTTCTAATTCTAGTTCTAAGCTGAATCATGCATTAAATATTGATAAAGCAGTTAACCACCATAAACAAGTAGAAAATAATGAACTACATGAGGATATATCTCAAAATAACCCTACTCAAGGCATAGAAATAGAATCTGGAGAATTTGGAGTTCAAGATATTCATGAAGAAATTATTGACGATACTCAAAAGACAACGGGAGAAAATGTAGAACAGGTAAGTTATTTCACTAAAAATGTCTACCTAACTTTTTTTTGTCACTAGTCAACTAATAATTTATATTAGTACAATAGATTATCTTTTTTTAGTATTGTTATAGGCATTCAAACCATAGTTAATTTATTATTACTTATTAGTTATTAGTCACTTATCAGTTCTTCTATTTTTGTACATATTTTGTCATTTTTATCGCACATTTTGCAATATTAAGCAATTAAGGTCACATTACTGCATATATTTATATGTTTTAATTATATAAAATTGTTTCACTGATAACAGTGTCAGTCAAGTTTCATTTCCCGGTCAATACCTAATTAGTTTTGTAATATTGTTATTTGGTGGTCCTAGAGACCATGTACTTCTACATATAATATGAGACTCCTACTAGGTTACACTCCTATGTCTCTATCATTATCATCCTATTTCTACATACATTTGCATTTGTTTACTGTTACTAATCCCCAGCTTACCAAATTTTTCCAAGTTCATTTTGACTGTCTTAGTCCATAACTGATTTAAAAGTCTTCCGTAAGCCGTTTTATAATTTGTTCCATTTTTATTCTTGTTTTCAATAATCTTTAAATTTTGTTTACTTTTCCTTTTCCATTGCCATTGTGATCTGACTATAACAATATTCTCTTTATATTTAACTGTAGTATTGTATGTGTTTTCCTATATGGTCGTAATCTTAAACCTCTTTAATTCATCGTATTGTACATTTTGTTTGTTTAGTCATCTAAGAACTTCAAATCTGAAGAATCTTCTGAAAATGGAAATCAACAAGTTGTTGGTGAAGAAATTGAAGAGGAGGAAGAAATAGTCGAAGATAACAATTTTGAAGAATCAAAAGAACCGGATACTAATTATTCTGACAATTTTCAAGAACCACAAGCTAAGCGTGCCAAATTAAACTATTATCAACAAGAAATAAATGGCGTCCCTTAAAGGTAATTTATATAATATTAAAAGTTTAAACATGTTATTGTTATGATATTTGAATAGGTCTTATCGTAAGACAATTTTTTTTTTCTGTACATAAATTATGTATAAATATTAAGTGGGCTACAAAATTATTGTTATTGTAATACATTGTTTTCTTTAATTAATTATGAATTATCTAGCTTAAATCAAACTAGGTATTTCTCTCTGTCAAAATATTTAGTTATTTTATGAATTAAGTAATATATTTTTATTTTTTGCTTGTGCAGAATTATAGGCAGTATATTATGTTATAAGATACCCTACTACATTAATAACAAAGTGTATTTGTAAGAATATTGTATTTTTGCTAAACATTTTTTATGACTGTTCTAGCTATTATGATATTAGACAAATTATCATTGCAATTATAAAAAAAAATCCAAGTAAACAAGGTAGCCCTACATTTGACATGATGACCGTCATTATTATTTTATCCTATGTCTCATTATGTTCCTTGTAAATAACCGTAATAACATATCTATTGTAAAAAATAATTTAATTCCAATTAATTGACAATTTAATTTTGGTTGATAGGGATCTATTTCTTTTGAAAGTGCAATTACATTTAATCTTTCTATATTTTTTTCTTTTGTTATTATTTTTTTGTTGATTATAAATGTTATCAAATTAAAATAAATTGCCATAATTTTTATCTGTATGTGGACAAAAGCTTTTTTTCAGTTTTTAATTGTTTGAGAATTTTGATGTTATGAAGTTCATTTTTAATAAATATGTGATTGGACATTTTATATTATACAAAAAATATAATATAATTATTTTTATAAAATAAGTTTTTGTCTACTTAATAAAATGTGTTACCATTTGTGTTTAGAAAGATTTAGTTTACATTGGTATTAAAATTATATAAAATTAAATTTAAACTATAATCAATTTGTTGGGTTTAAACATAAACAAAATTATTATGTTGGATTTTTAAACATCTTGTACATTTTCCTTGTTTATTTATATATTATAAATATTTCAAAAGTATTTTTCAATCAGCGAATAATTATTTTTTCATTTAGTTCTTTACTAATAAAAAAAAAAATAATATGCACAAATGCAAATGTGTATCTATAAATATTGTATTGTTGTCTTGGGCGTCTTTATTTGATGGATGTGCGTGGGACCCGGCCCTACCATATTTATGTGTACCCCGTCTCTAGTTGTATTAACCTAAGCAGTTCCGACAAGCACAAATATTTTTTTTTTAAAAGATTGTAATAAACATGATGTTGTTAGTAGTATTTATACATTATATCATATAATAGATTCAAATTGTATTAAGGAATAAAAATAGTCAACGCAATACTTTTTTAGCACACTTGTAAGTGTAATATAAGATTACTATTTACTTTATTTTGTTGAGACATTAAATTTATAAATTATTTAATTTAAGTGTTTTTAATTTAAAAAAAATATTTATCTTTCCCTCCATTTTCCGAAGTACGAGAAATTGATTTTCAAATCTTTTCGAGTGTTTCATTTATCCTATTCGTGACACCTTCGGTGTATGCGTTAAGTATATACGAAGTTGTCGTGACGTATAACGATAATAATACGTTATCATTTTAATGCGCACATAGTGCGCGTGTGAGAAAAAAACAAAACATAAAACTGGGAATCGATCCGTTGAAAAAAAAAACGGAACGAAACATTGAAATACGACGGCGGCGTAACCCAAGCCCGCAGCAGCTGACGCGTGTGCGTGGTGCGTCGCTGCCCGCTGGTGGCTGGTCGGAAACTCCGTTTCGCGCGCCTTTCTAGTTTCCCGACGACGTCGTATAGCAATAACGGTAAATGCAGTGTGACCAACGACGTCTGCCCGCCCGTAACTGATAAGGGGCCTCCCGAGGAGGCCAAGGCACCGATCGGCGTGACCCGACGTTCAACAAGTACAATATAATGCGACGGCCACGCCAAGGTCGAAAACCGGTCGCTGAGTCGGCGGCCGCAACACGGTAATACCGCACCGCCGCCCGTCAACGGCCGCGACACGGTAATATCGCGCCGCCGCTCGAGGCCGGAGAATTGACGGTCGGACCTTGTGGCGGCACTGTTGCCTCGGTGAAAACGACCATTCGCAATGGCGTGTACGTGGACGGCGAAAGGTATTCCGTAGTTTTTAACTGGCGGCCTGTGTTCACGTCGACGACAATCGAGCAGCGCGCGCGCGTTATGTAGTGTTAGTGTTTTTATTATTTTCATTATTATTATTATTTTTTTTTTCAATCACAAAATATACAAAATACGTACATATATTATGTATCTCATATTTTATCCATTGTAGTTTTTAATTTATGCCAAACGAATGACGAAAACCAAAAACCAATACCGAATAACAGATTACTATTATTATTATTGCCGTACATAATAGAATATAATTATACAAAAAAACAAGCTGCTGCTGCTGTTGCTGCAAACGCCGCCGCCGCCGCCGCTGGAAAAGCTGCCGCCCCTGTGACGTTTGGTCGCTGCGGGAAAGACGTCAAATCGGAGCCACCGAAAGCTGACGTCTGAGCGTCGTCGCCGTCGCCGTCGCGTGTGAGTATCATCCGTGTGAGCCGCCGCCGCGTCGTCCCCGCTCACGTACAGCACAGGGCCTTCTCTCCAAAATGGCTCTGCCCCTACCTTTACGTAGTGGTGGCCCGCACATGTATGTGTGGACGGCGGTGCGTGTGCGTGTGTGTACGCGTTTTCATCCCGACTTGGGTCAACGGTGGTGTGCCGTGCCGTCACCCGCCCGCCCATCCGCCCTCCAAACGCGCTGCTCGAGGTGTCCCTCTCCTAGGAGCATTTTTATTATTTTTTTTCCCGTCGCTGTCGTCGTCGTGTTTTTTCACATAATCGGCATCGAACGCGCCGTCGCGTTCTTTTCCCGCGAGATAACGGTACGCACCACGCACGCCGACGGTTTCGTGCCGTCGTCGATTTTGATCATTTTCGGGGCACCACCAAAATTATTCGGACCATCGTTTTTTTCCACCCCTTGTCGGGGGGCGCGAAACAATCGCGGCCGGTGGGCCGTGTGTCGTCCGGAGGACGCGCGCGTCTTAGGCGATCGTCGCACGTTATTAAAATATATATAACGACGACGTCGACGAGAGGACCGTGGCGCGCGCGTCTCGAGAAAGTACCGGCGGCCGATTTTTATAAAACATTTCCGTACCGATATAAGTAGGTCTTGCGGCTGTATATTATAGTCACATCCTGGTTCTTTAGAATAATACAATTTTTTTTCTTTCCATTCCGTTCCTCCGCTCATTATACACGCGACTGGATAGAAGTAGAAAGTGAAAGCGTGTACATACGGTTTGTGCGACCGTCTATACTATTATAATAATAATATATATTTTATATTTTATTATTACATTGCTGGCAAGCGAGTGTGTGTGTGTGTGTGGTGTGTATGTTTGTTTGCTTGTAAGAATTGTACGTACGCGTGTGCGTCGTTCGGGCCCTGTTAGTGCTTGAGTGTGCTTTACTTTTCTCAAACGCATTCCAACGCGTGTGCGTTTTTCGGGAAGCCACAAATTCAAGAAAAACCTGTGGGACGAACGAGTAGATTTTTGACACCGCCGCCGCCGGTTGTTCGTCTCCGCCGTGACGTCTCGCGTCGGCGGTTTTCGGAGATTTATTTTGTTGTTTGTAGTGTTCTCGTCGCCGCGTACGAAACGAACAATCATTGGTGTAATGATATTAACATCGTTGTCCAGTCTGAAACGAAAAGGTACACTTTACAATCATCGATCAGAGATTTCGTTGTTTTCCGGAAAACTGTGGGCATCGCTTTACCCGACGACCCCACCACCGTTAAATATCTTCTTAGCGATCCTAAGATCCGTATTCAACTTTTTATTTTTTCACACCGTGTCCCCAATGCCCTAATATGAAGTTTTGTGTTTAGGCACAGCGTCATATTTTTTCCGTTATCTTCCCACCCGATATGATATCTCTGGTGCTTTTATCTCGTATTTTCAATTGGTTTTTTCATAATTATTAATCATCGTGTCTATTGGTGTTTTTTTCCTTCGCAAATTAATTATGTAACTAAACCTCTACGATAGCAACGTCGACGACACACAATCGCATTTGTTTTTTTTTCCGTATTTTTTTTTTACCCAATACTTTGCGTACAAAGTAGCATTGCACAATAACAATATCAATAACACATTATAAAAAAATGTCTTTGTTTAACATTTCTACCTCACAAATACTTTTGTAGTGCCTATTGCATTTTTTCTATCATTATTATTTATTTATGACACACCATTCTATTGATGTTTTTTTTTTTTAACATATCTATTTTACTGACACAAGCATTATAATATTGTGAAGAAAGGATTTTAAACCGAAATTATTTTCTTAAAACATAAAACAATAATACAAACCATGAATGACATAATTTAAAATGTACCCAATTATTTAATACAACTTAGGTATACTTAAAAGTTAAAATTACCTTAGGGGTAACCTTAAATGTAGTTAATAATAAACATGTCATTGCTCTTTAGACTTATAATTAATATTTTTTAATAGTGAACACTGTACGTGTATATTATTATTCAGTATAAATTATACAAATATGATTACTTTCTTACTTTCTTAATAATTATTTAAATTTGTTTTTAGGTTAAATATTAATGGCTAGTATTTATTTTATTACTGTGGTCTGTAAAAATACTTATTTTGTCCCCCAGATGATAAAAACACATCATACTGATAGAATTTATAGATACTCTATAATATTGTGAACCCGCTGATTTTTTATTGAAATGATATTTTTTTTTTTTACAAAATGTAACTACTAGCAATTTTGATACAATAATCGTTTCAAAACCAAAATTATTGTTATCCTTACTTCTCTTCAACAACTAGTTATTTTTTAATCTTGGATCTTGAATATCGCCGATTGAGCTATTCAACTTTATACATTGAAAGATTTTATACTACGTACTTCCTAAATTATATAGTAGGTAAAATGAAATAATATCAAATGTATCCAATAGGGACAGGGTACTACTGAGTAATTTATATTTCATTAGTGGAAATGCTAAGAGTGCGTTATACCCGCATTTGCTGTCTCTATCTTACAAGTTCTTTACATAGCGAATTTAAATCTCAGCAGATTACGTTTAGCTTCCGTAAAATTAGAGTGAATTGATCTCTTATTAAAAGTAATCCATTATATGTTAATTTTAAAGCTAGTTATGATTATTTTTAAATGCACAAACAATTTTCAATCTTAAAATACTCATAACTTGCTTTAAAGTTAAAATATAATAAGAAGCCCATGAGATGCACCAAATAATAATCTTACTTTTAATTTTTATAAGAGATCAATTTACTCTAATTTTTTAACCAACGGAGACAACACAATAGTCATGGTGGTATAATGCTCTCGCTATCATGAACATTAGATATTTTATCAACTATCATAATAGGTACATGTCAATAATTCAGTTAAGATAATTCAATGATATTTTATGGCTGAAAACATCCAAAAAATTGACTTTATAGCATACCTATACTATATATATACTATAAATAGTACTTAGTACTTTCAATGAAATTCTTTTAATATTAAAAAAAATGTTATATTTTAAAAATCTATCGGGTTAAATTGTGTATAAGTAGTCATAATTTTTTTATGTTTACAAAAATTTAATGTAAACTATCATGTTTTCCAATTTGACTGTTTACCTTAGAAAGTAACACTACACAAGAGCCTACTTAATTTTAACTTAAAACTCCATGTGGGGACCTACCTAGCAATATTTTAGTATAAATAATATTCTTAGTGACTTTATGTTCCTTAAATAAATTAGTAATTTAGAAGTATGAAGATAGCTGTCCTTAAATTTTATTAAACCTTTATCTATAATGCCTACAATTTTACTTATGTGTATAGTAATAACAAAAGAAATTAATATCATATTAGAGTACTCATAAGTAATTTATAAATATTTTTACAGTTAATCTGTTTTAAATAGTGTTTGTCTCATTATCAAGTGTACTATACTACTATTGGTTTTAATAATAAAGAAACAACATTTCTATGTTATTATAACACACTTTATATACCTACGAATAAATGAACAAACAATTTCTTGGAAAAACATTGAATAATGTATATTAAATAGAATTTGAAGTCAAATGATTTTCTTATAAGTTTCCTAAATTGCTTCATTATATAATGATTTAATAGACCTTGAAATTTACAATTTAGATTTCTAAATATCTCCCATGTGTAAGTATCTAAATAATAAAATCATGAGTTATAAATTACTAATATTTAAAGCCTAATTAAGTTTATCAAATATATGTTAGGTTTTATTTTTTTGCAAAACCTCTATATGAATACCTAAATATATTTTTTAATGTAAACCCTTA